ATTATTAATTAAGTCCACGGTTATAACATAATCGAGGATAGCTTATGTACAACATATTGTTCAACATTACTATTCAATCCGGATTAGCTGTACACAAGTTGAAATATATATGAGAAATGTTACATGCAATAAGTATTAGATATAGTTGACAGATAGAGAAATAGTGTAATTGTAAATCAACCCATCACTTGACAGAGCATACAATTGAATGCACACATGCCTGCCAAATTATTTATGGTAGTGTCTTCATGTAACAAGATAACATCTTATCTAATATGAAATCTCAAAAGTAAAATGTTTTGACAAATGCCAATGTAATTATTAAATAAACACCATTCTACTGTAATATATATAAATAAACTTTATGCATAATTTCACATAGTATACAATAGACATTACCTTAGAAGAAAGAATGCTCCCAGTACGTTTAAGGTTCTCGGAATGTCCACCGGAAGGATTTATATGAAAGATACCTTAATCAAATTTCTTGATTTTGTGAAGATTAGCACAGCTTTATCGTCGAAAATTTATGCTTTGGGATTCACAGATCTGCAGTATCTTTGATTGAGCATAGCACTCGTGCTAAATGGGCAAACTTTTACTTCCGTAATTTCATTAGATCATCAGGATCTTAAATATATAAAATGTTAAACTTCCACTTTTGAGTTGGCTTAGATTGACAGGACCAAGAGTAAATAGAACAATCGTGCTAATGGTAAAAATTTCATACTCGGGAATTTGCTCAGACCGACATGATCTTGAGCACGTAGAAGCATCGTGCTGATAACGTATTATGAATAATTATTCCGATAATGGGAATAAGCAACACCATTAACACGAAACAGAAGAGAAGGAGTAACACCGCGTTTATTCCATACTCTCATGGAGTGATTACGTTAGGAGAGCACATATATACAGAGAGGTGAAGGAGAAGAGAGGTTGTGTATCTCCATTTGTCTTCTTTGCTTGCCTTTTATAGGTTATTGAACAGATGCATCCCAAATCGTTTCCTTATCATAAATGGAATAGGTGGGAGGCTATGAAGGTGGTGGTTTGGGATTGAGTGCAGGAGGAAGGACATCCACAGACATATTTTATAATAAAACACCTATTTTCCCACCATTTGTTTTTATCATGATTTCACATGGATAATTTTTTTAAAAGAACATGAAAATTGGGCTTATCCCATCTCCCACACGCGTCCACAAACACCTCCTTCCTTTGTACACCTTTCTTCTTCCCTTAAGTCGTTGGTACTGCTCGTCCTCGAGGCCAGCAAAACGTGTTGGCTCTGCTGCTTCTTTCATCGCAGTCGTTAGCTGTCGTTTCCCCAGCCGCCCAAAGGCTCATTGAAGGAATATGGATCGTCGGGTAGGTAGGTTTTGAGAGGGAATGGTGGTGGTCGCTGCCTCGGAGCTTCCGAAACCACCAGCATGTTCCTCGAAGCGTGGGCTTCAATCGGCAAACACAGTGAGAATCATAAGCTTTCCCAGTTCTTCTCTTTATATCTACTTTGGTCCTCGAGAGTTCTCCAATACTTATCCAAACTTTCTTAAGTTTCTTTCTACCTTCAAAATCAACAAAACATACCCAGAAGGAAACAAAGAGTACAAAAACATAACCTAGGTCTATTGAAATGACTAAAGATGCTTTGCTAGAATGAGGAAATGTATTAAGAATAAGAGTGATAACACTATAATAAAGTGTCATAAAAAATAGGGTAAATACAATATATTAGCCATAACTATTATGAAGCGGGGAATTATAGCCATAACTATGTAAGTTCAAATTATTAGCCATAACTATTGTTGTGGGCCAAGATATGACTAACAGTCCATTACTATTATTGAATATTAACGGAAAAGGCCACATGATCGGCCACGGCAGTAGCCACGTCGGACTGCTTTTAATTTATATCTTTAAAACATAAAAGTTTGGTCAGCATTACTAACGGAATTGTTAAGAGAGAGTTAACATTTGGCTAATAATTTGAATTTCCATAGTTGTGGCTATAATTCCCCGCTTCATAATAGTTGTGGCTAATATATTGTATTTACCCTAAAAAATACCACACGCTTGAACTATACTTGTCCCCAAGCAAACGCTACTCATAACCATATAGCTCAATGAATTCTAGGAACTAGCACTCAACCTTGATCTTAGGTAGTGGATCAAAAATAACTTACAAGATCAACAAAAGCACAAGAGAATCCTAACCACATCGATATGAAAGAACATCATACCACTTAACAAAAGCATCAACTACTAATCATGCATCAGAGTCTCAAAACGATAGGGTGAAGATTTTGATAAAATTTAAAGTCTTGAGCGCTTTCAACCATCAACTTGACATTTTTTTTAAAGCACTTTGTCTTACTCAAACACATACTCTCTTTATGATTTTTCGAATTTTTCTTCTCTTGCAAACAACTACTTTTTTCTTTTTCTGTTTTTTCCCCCCTCATGGAGGAGAGTTCTTTTTGAACTTTATCCTTATTGGTCATGGACTTAAGGGGTGTCAGTAGCTTTATCCATGCCCTTAATAACAAATCCTCAAGTTGGCACTCAATTCGACAGGTGGAGATTTTACTTGTATTAGAGAGGAACATGCATCACCTGATAGGACTTCCCCACCAAAGCTCAACTAGTATCTCTTCCAAAACCCGATTTTAGTGTAATGAAAAGATGCCTCACATGTTGGGATTACCCACACTTTATTTCTTAACATAGAATGACAAATTTTCGAATGAATAATGTCTTGATGGGTAGATATTTTGCATTTTTCTAAAGATATAGTTCACCCTTTGAAAACTTTTGAAAACATGAGACTCTTTTGCATAATCAGAAATCATTGAATAGATCAAATAATATGGCATTCAAACATATCAAATGGTTATTACTTCTCATGGACTATCGCATCCTTCATACTCACCGCAATATCCTTCCTAGATCAGGTGATGATTACTAGACTCATTGATCCAAAGTAAGATGAGAAGTGATCATGATTTTAGGGGATGACTGAAGTCATTAGATGGAAAAACATCTTTAGTACTTTAATTTTTTTGAGCACATCTCACAACAATTTTAGCATTAATTTTTTTCAAATTTAAACAACTAAACACGTATCAACTAGTAAGCCCATCAAGGAAAAGCATATCAACCATTCCCACCCAACACTTTAAAATGAACATTGTCCTCAATGGACTAAAACATAGTGAGTTGTGGCAAAGTTGAAACGAATTACCTCGATTGTTCAGAATTCAAATTCGTCCATAGTAGCTACTTCTCCATGATTGTTTGGAAGAGACTCAAAATGTCTAAACAAAAAGAAAAATACAAGTGGCTTCTTCAAACTTAACTCCTACATTCCTGCACCTCCTTTTGGTGGTCCACTGCCTGGGTAGAGGCTACAGATGATCTGTTGAAGTCCTCCATCCACGAACGGCTCCAATCCTGGTGTTCCTCCTATCTCTGGCGCCAAGCTCGAGTCCCGTCAAGATCCATCTGTGTCTCATGCTCAAGGGCATCCAAATGTTGCTTGTTCAGTGTCTGGTAGTTTCTTAGGCTCTCCTCTGTACGTCCCACAACTGCTCTCAACTCTGTCATATGGATTCCATAGTCTTCATGTTGAGATGATGGTGGATGTCTAGCTCCAAATTTAGCTCAGGTAGTCTCACTAAATGTACTGTTGGTTTCCCTACCGCTGTCCACGCAGAGTGTGGTGGGAAAGTGTTGCTGGAGAGGTCCAATCGCTTGCTTGTCACCTTATCAACTCCAATGGTGAAAGCCGACTGATGATAAATATGTCATTCCCTCGCCAATGTATCCTAGAAAGATAATCCTTCCTCCTCTCTATGCTTGTCAATGTGCTGGGCTATGGTGTGAACATAGCCTGCTCCTGGTAATCCTCGTGGAGAAGCAACGAATGTGTACCTTAAAGGGTTGTCGACCACCAACCATGCTGGGTGAAGCCACGAGTTATGCACCAAAGTATGATACAAGATCATGTCACTAGTGGTTACCTTCCTAGAATATCCCTTCTGCCTCATGTTAAATATGGTTTGGCCATGGTAGTGCACGAACCTGATGAGAGGAAACTGAATGATGGTGTGGGAGGAGTAGCCGAAAACAAACTCAGCTCCTTGATCTCGTGTGATCCTATTCCAAAGCTCGTGAAAGATAGTCATCTGTGTCGTGGGCTCCCAATAAGCTCCAAGGATGGCATCTGAGAGTGGTCCTCTCATATGATAGTACAAGTTCCCTAGCTTTTCTGGCGAAGCTGTCATCATCCCACCAATCTGTAAGAGATGCACCTCTAGGTTGAGCTTCCTGATGCTCCTACTAGGAACTCTTGAGTGAGAACACTGTTGCTCTCTCCTCTGATGCTGAATAATGACAAGAGACCAACATCTTTGAGTCTCTACCTCAATTGTGCTCCTAATCCTTGGTACTAATCAAAGTCCTGCCAGTCCAGCTCTCCTTGGTTGTCCACTGGCATGTCTCTCCATCTCTGCACCTTCTTAGCACTAAAACAACCAATGGGGAACTGGTGCAGGGGTGCCTTCGATGTGTCTTCTCATATCTCCAACTCGCTATCAATCTCCACACCTTGGCATCTAGTGGCAACTGTCCACCCCTGTTTCTCGATCTCCCGCTATCCTGCGATAGCCTTCGATTGATGATGCTGGCGAATCATCGAACAAATCAAAATTGAGAACCTAGCTCCCACGAACTCTCCTCGTCCTCTATCACGATCACTGGCTCCCTCCCGTTGAGTCGTGCAGACCGTCAAGGTGCTGCATGCTCTGGCCCAACTCGAGGTGGGCTAGGAACCCATGGTCCTCGTGATGAAGAAGCGCCATCATCTTTTTTCTTCTAGTGTCGACCCATCCATTTGGGAAGTCGATTCATTTTCCCGCTCAAAAGAAACCAAGTTAGTATAGATAAAAGGGGATAACCCCACACTTTAAGAGCGTGGCTTCATCTATAGGCTAATCATATAACGTCTCAAGTATATATTAAGATGATAGTAATCTATATATTTCATTTATCATTGGAGCTCATGTAAAGATAGGAAGTATTCTAGTTCAAAATGTAGAAGTAGCATGAAGTACGTATCTTGAAAATTTTGAAATCTACAAGTTATATGATTAGGCAAAGGTCGATTAATAAGTTAGCACAAGTAAAATGACATGTCATTCGATCAATCCAACTTAGCAATGAAATTTCCTTCCTCAATTTCAATTTTGAAATCTCAAAACTTCTACCAACAATTGTCAAAACTCAATGTGAAAGATGTCATGCTAGAATTTTGGAAATTTTGTCATGACCTTTGCTAAAAATCATCAACTCATGCAAGCAAACATCATTAAATATCATCATAAGCACCATGTAATGTCAATTCTAAGCATATAAGAAATCACCATACATTCATAAACATCGATTGTGCCTAACATAGGCCAAAAATTATCAAGATACTTTCCTACTAATCTCGAGAAATTTTAAACTTTGAAATCCTCAATCAAAGTCCTAAATTCATGGTTCAATCTCATAAATTTATCTAAATATCATGGGTACTTAATTGGATCTATGAAAGTTGCAGAAAAATTAAAGAATTCTTAAAAAATAAAGAGAGGGAGTGGCGACTGGTCTGGCCGTCGTGGTGCTTCTGGTGAGATTTTTTATGTTCCGTTGATTGGGTTTTGTTTGGTAGGTGATGGTTAGGTTGTATCTCGAATTTGAGGGAAACACTTGAAGACATTCTTAGAGATAGTCGATTCCATACCAGGAGATGCTGCTACCAAAGATGGGATTCGACAACGACTTTTTGCATTCTCACTTGGAGGAGGAGCAAAGCAGTGGCTCGGGTACCATCCCCCATGAACCATCACCACGTGGGAAACCCTTTCACAAGCATTCATTGAGGAGTACTTTCCACCATGGAAAAGAAAAGAGCTTAAAGATGAGATTACTTTTTCAGCGGAAGGAATGAGAGACTTTCTATAATGCTTGGATGAGATTCTAGAAGTATTGAAAGCATGCCCCATCATGGATTCACACCAGATTAGATTGAAAAGTACTTTGCCAAAGGCCTTGAATGAGACACCATGATGATGGTAAACCTTTCGGCCGATAGAGATTTCACTACAGTGACGAGAGTGCAATGCCAGGAGCATTTCGCCACACTTAGGGATGGCAAAAATATCAATAGCCATGGATATCCGTTCGAATTCGACCTAATCGGATAAAGTAAAACCCGAACCCGAATGAATTTTAGTGGATACAGATAAAATGTGAACCCGAATATTGAGGGTAATGGATGGGCATGGTTTTTTCACTATCCAACCCGAACCAGCCCAATTATACACATGCATATCTGTTTTATCTAGAAATAATCATTTTTTTCTCTAACATATTTTATATTTAGCATATAAATATAATTTTCATGAAATTGTGTTGTTTTAATTATATTTCTTCATTGTAGTGAATTATTATCGTAATTTTCCTCTTATGTAATGTGAGAATATGTGTGCATGTTAACATATTTTATTGGAGTTATAAAGAGAAACTTTTATCCATGGATAACCGTGGATACCCGAACGGCTATGTGCATGGTGTTGATTTCAACCCGTTTCTTATGTGGGTATGGGTATGGGTAAAACCCAAACAATTTGAGTAGGGTAACATATATGCACTATCATCTCCAGACCCCACCTGTTGCCATACCTACCCAGGCCCACACTAGCAAGGAAGTTAAAGAACTGGTCCAAGTATCCATCAACGACTAAACCATTGAAAGCTTCCAAAGGAAAAGAGGATGATGTTGCTACCCTGGTGACATGCTAGAACACAACACCAAACTGCAACCAAGTGTAATCGTAGAATGGGACTGCAGTATAGTGGCACAAGTAATAAATATCGAATCCACGGGTCTCTAGAGTTACTATTACTCAGCTTCAGTTCATTATCTAGAAAATTAGTTTAAGGATTGATTTACTAAACTACTCTACTAACTACTCTACTAATTACAAGTTGGGAACTCACTTAGGTATGATTCCCCCTAGCTCCTCAATTAGGTCCAAGTTGCAATTACCTTTGGTTGATCTACTGTTGATTAAATTGCGGAAGATCCTAAATTAGCTTGGAATATCTTAAGCTGACCAAGCTCTCTTAGATAGAATACCCGACAGGCGACTAGCCTTCACCGGGATAGAATGCTAAGGCGATTCACAAAGATCTCCACTACTGGAATGAATTCTAGTACAGCGCAGTGAATTGATTGACTCTCGCACAACCAATTCACCACTATCAATCAAGGAAGCTCTCTTAACCTAATCAGATTCTATCTATCATAGGTTAAAGCAGAAATCAAGAGAATTTGATCAAGATTCAATTGACTCAATAAATCATGCCTCAATCGATTATAATAAAAAAAATATCGCATCCAAAACTTCATACAAGAAAGATCCTAACACATGGAACTAGGGTTCCTCAAAACCTAAGTGAAGGGAAGTTACTCCATAGGGAAGTTACTCCATCTCCAAGCTTGATTCCCGAGCTCCAATGGCAAAGAAATCCTCCAAAATAGCTCCAAGAATGTTCCCAAGTAGCTCTCTCTCTCTCTCTCTAGGGTTCGTCCCTTGGGTGTTTGGGAACCAAAACCCAGCTCTCCCTTTCCTTTGGCTCGAATCTGCCTCAAAAACCCGATTCTGGGCAAAATATGGGCAAAAATACGGTCGTAATTCTTCCATGCCCGTATTTTGCCCAAAACACGCATTTTGGTTAAGTTTCAGCGCATCCAAAACTCCTCTCGGCAGTGAAAATACGGGCATGGGAGGGGAAAATACGGTCGTAATTTTCCTGCCCGTATTTCTTCATTCGCTCCTGTTTAATGCTTCGTTTCTCCCTCGTTCGGACTCCGAATCAGTCGCCGTTTGATCCCAGACGCTCGTAGTCTCGTCCTATATCTTTTCATGACAAGATTCCATGATTATTTGTCCATAATATGAGGTAGAAGTCCATTATTCCTCAGGTCATGCTCGTGTTTCTTCTCCCGAATTGCCAAATGATCTCCGATAGACTTGAAACTTGCGCCTATGCTTCAATTTACATGCTAGGACATGAAATGTGACAAAATAACATATCCTAGCTTAAAATAGTCCAAGAAAGCAAAAACTCAAGCCAAAAGTATCAAGAAACGAGGGTGCAAACATGTGCAAATACGATGTTATCAAATTCCCCCACACTTAACACCAAGTCAGATACAAGGTAAGCTCAAAACATTGTAACCATGAAACCCTTGGGGACATATCATATAGACAAGAAATACGGGAATCATACTAGCTTTTAGACATCAACACATGGTGGAAGTAATAATAACACAAGGTTCCACAGTTCCAAACCCAACACAATCACAGCCAATCAAACCAATAACTTACTTTCTACTATTATGCCTTACTCAAATTCTCTAGAGCACAAGAGCGAAGGAGGTCACATAAATGTTAGCATTTCCAAGCCAAACTGCTAAGAAACACTACTTAATGGGCACTATTTAGATTTTTGTGGTGGTGACGCTCTTTTGCTTTCATTCATTTTTTTTTCTTCATTTCTTTTCTTTTTTAATTTCTTGAGAGAACCACCACCTATGCACATTTTTCAAACACATGCCCAACCTTTTAAGAACTACCTCCAACCCTCACGTTACATTTAGCAGAACAACAGAGAACATGTAAAAACCACTCTCTGGAACCTTCTAAGAGATGCAAAAGGGTGATTTTTAATTGTAAACCGAAAGAAAGACAGTGACACGGCTCAAAGGGGCTGACTAGGGGGCATGACACACCAGGACAGTCAATTTGGTCATGGGCTATTCCTATGCCTCCATCATCTTAGCTAATGACAACGTGAATGCTACACATCATGGAAAAGAGATATATCGCACAAGAAAGAAACGAGCAGGCTCAAATCTCACATGGCTACCTATATGCTCTATCTCTCATTCTGATTCCCCAAACTAGATGCATCAACGACTGTCAAGAACAAGTGATCAATCCAAGTCACAATTGGTAAGCAAACAGTTGAAAAACTGAACCCCTACACAACTCTACTGCATGTCTCAGTCATCATTATAGGTTTTCCTAGTCACAATCCAGTTGTCATGCATTCATTCGAAAGCCATTCGATTCACCAATTAAACCCACAATGCCAATACGATCAAGCAAACAACAGTACTTGGAGCCCTCAAATCTCAAGATTTGGACAGTGGACTAGGCTCCAAGCACACACATACAGCCAAACATTCACACGCATACATAATTGAACATCCCCCCACACTTAAGCACGACATTGTCCTCAATGGAGGAAAGATAAGGAGGGTAGAACGAAGTTACTAGATCAAGGGTGAATGATGGTGTACGGGGCAGGTGGTGCATTCCAGGAGGAGAGAGTAGTCGGAACACAAACACCACACAAAATCTCACAAAGGTTGAGTTATTGACTCTAAAATCAAAGAACAAAACTGACTCAACCGAGGACAAATAGAGAAAGAAATGCAAACCGACTGGTTGGGTTGCCTCCCAACAAACGCTTCTTTCACGTCGTGAGCCGGACGATGACTCCTAAGTTTCAGTCCACCCCAGAACCTCTTTGAAGTTGAGGTTCTTGTCGATGAGGTGAAGTCTCAAGTCATGAGCATGTGGTATGACAGGTGATGGAAGCTCGTGCACTTGATGCAGATGAAGTCTCCACCCTCGAGGCCTCTTCTTCTCTTCTCTCGTCTCATTGCTGCAGACCAGATATGACAACATTGAATGGACACCATCGCGCCACCATGAGGGACCGATGTCGATGTGGCCTTGGTCTGGCAAAGAGACACTGCAAATGGTTCCTTGCTAAGCAATTCCTCGAAGTTTGGTGGAGATAGCACATGTAACTCATGGACGGTGCAAGCCTCTTCCACCTCAACTTCATCCTCGGCCTGGACGCCAATTGCTTCTTCAGTCCCCCTTCCTTCTTCATGTGGTATCACCCCTGAGAAAAGATCAAGAACTCCTTCTGCTTCACTTTTGTCATCCTCCACAACTTCTTTTTGCACCCTTTCTTGCTCTTCTTCTTCCAGCATGGATTGGAGGGCAAGTCGCTAAGAAATTTCTTTGATGAGATCATCTTGCATCTCCTCACTCATGCCCACCTCTTCAAAGCTCAGTGTGGGATGTGGGAAGGTGTGGTCGGCTACGACAGGACATTCCTGATCATGATCATCACGGGAGCTCTCCGTGACAACTTATGTCTGCTCCACAATGTCTTCGTAGCCTTCATCTTCCTCCTCTTCTTCTAGTATAGTAGCAGAAGGGTGATCTTCAGCAGGCTGTGCATAAGAGTTCTCAAGATCATCAAGGCTCTTCTTAATGCACAAGAGGATCTCCTCTGTTTCACGATAGGCCTGGGTACAAAGATCCATCTTGGAGCATGATCTCTCAATGTCTCGAGCTAACTGCTCTATGAGAAGCCTCAATTCATAGTTTGGATATGGCTGTGGAGTGTAGCATGGCTCTGCAGAATGGCCCGTGAAGGTCGCCATGGCTAACCCCAGCTCCGATGGCCCTTCTGGTTGTGGGAGAAATTCTTCTTGATAGGAGGTTGTTCTTGATATGCCCAGGGGTGTGATTGTTCTCCGTAGTAAGGGGGTTGGTACTGGAACCCGAATCCATAGTCTTCTCCTCCTTGATTGCTCCCAGAAGTCTCGGGGTAATACCACTCGGATGGTGGTGGATACCCCCAATGGTTGGAAAAGCCATGAGGATCCATGATTCAGATCTGCACCAACAAAAACAAAAACACCTAAGTGAAAAGCAAGGGTGAAAAAAAACCCGCTAAAGTAACAAACTTCTGCCTTTCCTAATAATCTAGAAAGTTCCCCGGCAACGGCGCCAAAAACTTGACACGCTAGAACACAACACCAAACTGCGACCAAGTGTAATCGCAGAATGGGACTGTAGTATAGTGGCACAAGTAATAAATATCGAATCCACGGGTCTCTAGAGTTACTATTACTCAGCTTCAGTTCATTATCTAGCAAACTAGATTAATGATTGATTTACTAAACTACTCTACTAACTACTCTACTAATTACAAGTTGGGAACTCACTTAGGTATGATTCCCCCTAGCTCCTCAATTAGGTCTAAGTTGCAATTACCTTTGGTTGATCTACTGTTGATTAAAGTGCGAAAGATCCTAAATTAGCTTGGAATCTCTTAAGCTGACCAAGCCCTCTTAGATAGAATACCCAACAGGCGACTAGCCTTCACCGGGATACACTGCTAAGGCGATTCACAAAGATCTCCACTACTTGAATGAATTCTAGTACATCGTAGTGAATTGATTGACTCTCGCACAACCAATTCGCCACTATCAATCAAGGAAGCTCTCTTAACCTAATCAGATTCTATCTATCATAGGTTAAAGCAGAAATCAAGAGAATTTGATCAAGATTCAATTGACTCAATAAATCATGCCTCAATCGATTATAATCAAACAATATCGCATCCAAAACTTCATACAAGAAAGATCCTAACACATGGAACTAGGGTTCCTCAAAACCTAAGTGAAGGGAAGTTACTCCATAGAGAAGAGAGAGACTGCAGAAATCTGATCTAGATCTTCAATCTCCATCTCCAAGCTTGATTCCCGAGCTCCAATGGCAAAGAAATCCTCCAAAATAGCTCCAAGAATGTTCCCAAGTAGCTCTCTCTCTCTCTCTCTCTCTCTCTCTCTCTCTCTCTCTCTCTCTCTCTCTCTCTCTCTAGGGTTCGTCCCTTGGGTGTTTGGGAACCAAAACCCAGCTCTCCCTTTCCTTTGGCTCGAATCTGCCTCAAAAACCCGATTTTGGGCGAAATACGGGCAGAAATACAGTCGTAATTCTTCCATGCCCGTATTTTTCCCAAAACATGCATTTTGGTTAAGTTTCAGCTCATCCAAACCTCCTCTCGGCAGTGAAAATACGGGCATGGGAGGGGAAATACGGTCGTAATTCTCCTGCCCGTATTTCTTCATTCGCTCCTGTTTAATGCTTCGTTTCTCCCTCGTTCGGACTCCGAATCAGTAGCCGTTTGATCCCAGACGCTCATAGTATCATCCTATATCTTTTCATGACAAGATTCCATGATTATATTTCCATAATATGAGGTAGAAGTCCATTATTCCTCAGGTCATGCTCGTGTTTCTTCTCCCGAATTGCCAAATGATCTCCGATTGACTTGAAACTTGCACCTATGCTTCAATTTACATGCTAGGATCTGAAATGTGACAAAGGAAAACAACCTAGGGTAAAATAGTCCGAGAAAGCTAAAACTCAAGCCAAAATGATCAAGAAACGAGGGTGCAAACATGTGCAAATACGATGTTATCACCTGGTCAATACATGAAAGAGCTTACTCAACAAGGTTGTCAATCGAGACATCAACAAGGTAGCTATGTTCATGAAGCACAATGGAAAAAGAAACCAATTCCACATGGATTTGAAAACCAACCTCAATACAAGGGGCAAGGAGAAGGTGTCTCCAATCCACAACCCGAAACTCGAACGAGTATGGGCATGGTTTTTATTTCTACATGTTTCTTATGTGGGTATGGGTATGGGTAAAACCCGAACTATTTTGAGTAGGGTAACGAATATGCACTATCTGCCCCCAACCCGTTGCCATCCCTAGGCCCACACTAGCAAGGAAGTCAAAGCACTGGTCCAAGTGTCCATCAACAACTAAACCATTGAAAGGTTCCAAAGGAAAGGAGGATGATGTTGCTACTTGCTACCT